GTAATCCCTTTCAACTTTAAAATTTTTTCTTTATCGACATATACTTCGTCTCTAATTAAACTTCTTTTCATTAAATTAATCTCACAACCCGTGTCTATCATAATTTCCACCGGGCGAATAAATTCTTTTGCATCAATTATTATTGTCGGCGCTATATATTCACAGTTTAATTTAACTGTGGCCACAGAGTATATTCTTCTAGACAATCCTGGGCCGGTGTCTGACTCTCTTCCGATTCCTGAATATGCAAGACCGGGCGCGCAATTCGCCCCGTGTCCCGCGCTGCGCCATAATGCGGGAGGGGCTGGCCGTTTCCCTGATTTTGGGCGCCATTACCTCCTCCTCTATTAAAATTTTGAGTGCCTCCTTGGCCTCTATTAATATTCTGAGTACCCCCTGGGTCTCTATTATAATTTTGAGTGCCTCCCGGGCCTCTATTAAAACTCTGAGTACCCCCTGGGCCTCTATTTTCATTAGAATTTCCATATGGATTAAAATTATGAGGAGCTTGCTGCATCCTCCTGTCATCTATACTCTCATTAAAATTTCGATAATTACTTCGTCCTCACTTTTTACAATAATTTATTGTATGACCGGTCATTTTACAATTTTCACAATATAAATTCTGTCTTCCATAACTGTTTCCCTCTGTGGTCTTTCCGTTAATTAGTTTGCCTTGGGACGGGCCCTGTCCTCTATTTAAGCTATAACATTTCGACGCTTCATGTCCTTTCTTGTTACATAGCTGACAAACTATTGGATTCGATTGAATCATATTTACTCTATTATAATTTTTCCTGTACTCTCTTCTATCTCTATTATTATTCTCAGCTTGATTATGATCTCTTAAACTCTCTATGGCTCTCAACTCTTTCTCAGTAGCTATCGCGAAATCTATTGTCTCCGCTAAATTCTTGTCTCGCGGAACCCGCTGCTCATATGGCGATTTTAATCCTTTAATAAAACATTTAACAAATTCTCTTTCTAAACTCTCAGCTGTGGCTGCATTTATGGCTTGTCCTCCAGCGTTAACCCTATACATCTCCTTAATCTTGTTACTGAGATCTTTTACACGATTCGCATATGTCAAGACTCCTTCGTTGTCTCTTTGCACTACTCTTCCCAGCTCTCCTTGCAATTCAAATAGTGTTTTGGTTGGCATAAACATCTTCTTCAAAAATTTAATTAGATCCTCTACATTTTCAAAATCAGTTCCTTGAATACACCGCCGCGCTTCCCCTCTAAGTTTATTTCTTAGCACCTGCACTAGCCAACGTTCGTTTGCTGGTGGCACCATTCTTTTGGCCTCCTGACATCCTTCTATAAAATGACTAACATGCGTAGTATTTCCATCAAAGACTGGCACTGCTTCTAACGCGTATTTAATTGAAACAGCAAGTCCCTGGTCATTAACCGCCATTCTTGTTAGATTTCTATTTATTATCTCTTGTCCACCGTTATTTTCCTCTCTTAAATCCTCCCCTATCTGGCTTCTTTCACCTCCTTCTATGCTTTCTTGTTCGCTTTCTAACCTCTCTTGTTCCAACTCAGTCCCTTCGCGATCGGCCCGCGCAATTTCTTCAAACTCACGCTCTAAACTTCGCGGAATTAAACCTGATCTTGCTACTCCTGCTCCTTCACTATTTCTTGTTTCAACTGGAGTGCGAGGAATTCTGTCCGGCATTTGATCATATTTTAATAGGACTTTTAATGAAATTTTCTTTCTATGTAATGCGTTCCCAAAAAAAAAATCTAAGTGTGAGTCTATCTCAAAAAAAAAAAATTTTACCCCTTAATATTCACTCGCGAATTATTTACTGTTAAATCTTATTTATTGTTAAAATATTTTATTCACTTATTTAATTCAAAAGGTAAAATAAAAGCTAGTATCAAATATTCAATAGTAATGATCTTTTAGTAATTTCATTATTAAATCACCTTATGCTATTATCTTTATTTCAAAAAAAATTATTAGTGAAAACACTCTCATTAAATTATTTATTAAGTAATTGGATAATAATAAAAAAAATTTTAGGATGAACTCATTTTTCCCTCAAAATTAATTTATTATTTTAAGTGAAATTAATTAAAAAAAAAACTACTGTTCTGAGTCACTTCTTTTTTATATATTTCTTTTTATTTATTTCCTATTTTACGACTTGTCTCCCTCTTTCAAATATGTTTCCCTTTTTATTTTATTATGATTTTCAATTTAATTAAAAAAAAATTTCTTTAAAAACGAATTTTTAATCAACCTGTTTGACTCACACTTTTTATTACGGTAATAAAAAAAATTTAGAGGCTCCTAATTTCTAAATTAATTTTGTGACTCAACTGTGACTCATCCCCGTGAAGTCCATGACGCAATTTTTCCTTTTAACTTAATGAATCTCGATTAATGATTTTTCTTTTCAAATTTCATCAAAACTGAGCAGTTTTACTTGCTTTTACTAATACTCTCCAAAAAAAACTACTTTTATGACTGACCATTGCAGGTATTCTATTCTACTCGAAAAAACTTCTTTTTATCTTCCCTTTTTTTTTACAAGCGATTTGTCAAAGCTCTAACCAAAATTGCCATAACAATAATATACTCTAAAATGAGTCGTATGATACTCACTGCTACTACAATTTTTTCGTAATGATTTTCACAATTTTCCATGTTAACAAAATAATTTTGAATAAATTAATTTGTGTTCCACGCTTCTAACTGGCCAGGTTATCAACGTTAAAGTCACACAAAAAACTTTATCCAAAAAAAAGTTTTACTATTGAAAGAAATAAAAAAAAAAATGTAATTTCAGTATTGTTGCTTTTCCCTATTCTTAACATTAGTACAATTTAATAAAAAAAATTTTACTATTTACTCCTCAATACACTTCTTTATATTATTATTATTTTTTTTTTACATATATTCCTTATAACAAATACTATTTATTTTTTTTATTTTTACAACTTGATTCTACAATTTTAATTTTCAACTCGAAATCGTCTTTGTTGCAGTAATTTCTATAAAGGGAAGGTAAAATTGAATTTGCTATTTTGCTCATACTTTCAGTTAATCTCTCAGAGCTCCCTTTTTTGAAGAAAAAAAAAAATTTTAATGAATAAAAATAAAAATTTTACACTATATTTATGACAGCCTCTGTTTTGACGCGTTTATGTTTTGCATACGTCTAAAAATTATTATATAATTTTCAACAAAAATAGTCCTCAGTAGATCAGGTTTAATCTTTTTTTCTTTTTACGAATTTTTAATTTCTTTCTACGAAAAGTATTATAACGCAAATCGCGATTGGAAAGAGTTTGAACGGAAATGCACATAAGAAAGTTATTTACAAGTTTATTTCTTTAATCTCCATCAGGGCTTTTCTCTTTTAACATCCCACTTCTGACACCAAATTTTATTTGTGTTACGTCTCAGTAACAGAATAGTCTCTTTTTCGAGTCAAGACCCAATCGTCCTCTACTCACCATGGGTGCGGAGACCACGCAGAATATACTTTAGATGGAGAATTAAAGAAATAGGAAAGGTTCTTAGTGCTTTACAAACCACGCTGGTGCATTTAGTTTTCTCAAAGAAAGATAGAGATTTGTTCTTATGATAGTCAATTCTTTATTTAATTTCTGTCATCTTTTTACTCACTAAATTGTTTTACAGCTTGGCTAAACAGGTAGCTAGGTAGCAGAAGGTTGTATACGCGTGAAAGGCTGCAGTTGCTTGGTTTGGTTGACGCTTCGATTCTCGGCTCTCGGCGTTGGTGCGGCGTCTTTCGGCGTAGTTGAGATGATTTTATGGCTGTCTTGGTGAAAGGTTGTCGTTGGCTCGTTGGAAATCTTCGTTGAAGCCTTCTAGTTGACTGATCTTCCTTCTTCTTACACTCCCGATTTTTATTTTAATAATTTTTGTTAGGAGATAAATAAAATTAAAATAAAAGAATTTAAATATGCAATTTGTTAGAGAGAGAATCCACGTAGGATTATTTAATCTCAGATGAGTATATTTCAAGCCCAAAAATTTATCTTTGAATTTTAGAGTTGAATCAAGAATTAATTTAAAAGTATTCTGAGTTTGAAAAATTTTATCAAGCTGAGTTCGGATTTGCACCGTGCCCAGTAAAAATTTGGAAGAGAGTGTCTCTTGCGTCCAAGTCCGCGCTTTTTAAGGTGCTTTCCGCGCATCCTTTGGAAGCTTCTAGATTGGCGTTTTCCAATCCAAAGTTTTAATTAATTTAATTATTTAGGCCTAGCCCTAATTTCCTCCAATCATCTACGCAAATTTTTCCCTTCTCCTTTTGGTCAGTGTCCGGCGCATCTTTTGGCTCTAGCGCTTCCCCACGCAGGATTCACCTGTGCTTACTTAGCATGCGCCTCGAAGCTCTATGTCCCCCACATGGTTTTTACCTGAGCTGTCATTGCGTAGACCCTTTCCCTTGCGCTTCTATTTTTTATTATTGATTTTTGTAGGTTTTCTTTACCTGCTTACCTTTCTTCTTCTCTGTGTTCCTGATACTTCTATTCCTTTGCTTCCACCGTTTTCTTGTTAAAGTTTTTATTAATATAAAAAAAATACAAATCCAGTTTATAACAAACACGACCTTGGAAGTTCTCAACAGAAAACTATGAAAAGTTGTGTGTCTTCTACAGAATTCGATCTTAACAACAATTATTATCCCAGACTATAATTGTTGCAAAGTTGAGTACGTGGTTTGTAGAAAGTAATTTTTTGATGATGCTGAACCAGTGCAGTTTACTAGCACAACATGACACTATTAAATTCTAGGTAGTAGTGGGTGAGGAGTGAGTATCAACCAGTGTATCTAGATTAAATGTACAATATTTTTCCTTGACCGTATTGATATTTCAACTACTCAAGGATTATAAGCTCTGTTATTACACAAGCAACCATTAAACAATGAGGTGCCATAAAACAAATAGATGTTGAATGATGAAAAATGTATGTCTATCAATAATTCCTGTAATTAATTTTTTATACTCACTCAACCATTTCTGACTCCTTGGCGACACGACAAAGTACCCCACGGTCCATCAAACATTTGCCACTGACAGGGTCGGGTGGTGAGAGATTAATGTATGGTGGCTCTTCCAAAAATGTTATCTTTAAATAAAATTTCTCTGGAACACCTTGTGGTGGAGTATGAGAATTTCCAGGCCATACAATGTCTTTTATGTCTAATCCTTCCTTTTGCCATGATTTCCAAACTCCAATCTGAGAATATCAACCACAAAAAAATTAAATGTAGAGTTTATTTCAACGAAAAATATTTTTTGAAAAATTTTATTGGTTTCAACTATGTTATTTCTGCAAAAAGGATTTCAAGACATTTTTATGTTTCTAGTGAATTTGTTTTCAACGTAATTATTTATAATTGTGTATATAAATCATTCCAATACGTCACTTTAAATTAACTCTATTTGTCAAAAACACTAGATTAATTTTGTACACTCAATAAATTTTTTTAAGGGAAAACTTATTGTGTCATTATGAATTACTGTCTCTGTTTTATCGGCTATCATAATCCTCTATACACTTTAGGAAACCTCCATCTCTACGAGACTTGTAGACGCCCCAGCAACGTCGATATAAAATGAAGGGGGATGATCAACTACGACTGATGGTTCAGTGACCCCAATGAGAATTTAGGTCAAGTTTGGGAATGTGAATGCCGTGAAGAATGCCGGAAAAGTTCAAAGATATCTCAAGTGTATGTCCACACCCTACGAAAACAGGGCAGAGACTCAGCATTTATTTTATGGCATTTTTGTAAGTGTTTACATTTGATTTCAGAAATCACCACTTTATGATTTATCAACATTAATTTATCTAAAGTCTTTTAATGGGTACAGAAATAAAAATACAATTGTTCAATCGTTTAAAAAAATAAAAAAAAGTTAGAGATATATGGAAATTGATTGAATTATTTATTTTTGATTGATGCCATTTGTAGAAAACATTGGACTCTTTTAAATATTCAGTAGGAGAAAGAATGAAAATAATTGAAATGATATGTCCTGAAATTCGAAGAATTTTTTTTTTCCAATCGGTGAGATTCAGTGAACTGTATTGATTAAAATAAATTACTATAATTTGAAAAATAAAATAGATATGAGAACAAAAACAGCTGGGATTTTTGATGTTATTTTCTTTTTTTTTTGCTTACATTTTTTGTCGATTTTTTTTTTTTTAATAAAACTTTGAATATGTCTGAAATATTTATATCGTTAAACTTCCGTAGAAATATAATGATATTAAGGTGCGAAGAGTACCTTTTGAGTGTACTCATGAGATTAATCATCTCCAGTCTGACGTTAGTCTGTAATGTAACTTAACGTCAAGCAGATGATAGAATTATTATAATTCACAGCTAGAGTTTAACTAGAGTATTTAAACACATACATTAGTCTCTAGAGTATTTGAAATAACATGAGTTTAACATCTATTGTAACATAAAGTAGACGAACTCACAATTCATTAAACAAAAAGGTGTTAATTGTAGTTACCACAAACCTTCTTTTAAAATTAACACAAATAGTTTAAAAATAAATGTATTACTTTCGCCAGGATATATAAATACTGTATTATTTAATTTTAAAATTAATTAAAAAATATCAAATCATACTGTCTGTCTAACAATAGACCGTTTAAAAAATTTTTTAAATAAAAATTGACAATAAAACACATGTATTGTGAAACTTTTACTCGTTATAAAAAATTATCTAACTTATATTTCCTATTAACGTGAAAAATATTTGTATCTTTAAATGACGTATCAGCTGGCAAGAACTTTGAAAAGAGTCTAAAAAACAGAGAATGCTTGCCAAAATGCCCATCTCGGATTCAGTAATTGGACTGCACATTTCATTCTTATTGCATTCTGTTCTAATTTTCTAACATTTCCATCTACTAACTTAGTTTACACCCTTCGTTGGCTCACAAACACTTGTGTCATGTGTGATCAAAAAATTCAATTCAACACATGTAAAGATCAACATGTATACGTGATAAGATGCTTCAAATTTCATGAGTATTTTCAAAACTTTCCGTTAAGTTACAAGGACACTAAGTTACATAATCTTTTAACTTTAAAGGAAGTTGACAAATAAGTTTTGATTCTATCTAGTGAATGATTTTATAAAATAAAGCAAGAAGCTTTTTTATTTTAACGATGTGAGGCAAAAAATAGAGTTTTTTCCCCAATTTTTTCTTTCCAAATAGATCTGAAAAATACATTTTTATGACAGTAATTTCTTTGGAATTAGGGTTCCTGTGTGTGATGTAAAAGCATATTCAGTTTATATGTTATCAATACTTATTTATTATGGAACATCACTCCAACTCTTGGATGACTCAGAATGACCTAAATGAGACTGCGAGAACTGCTTTAATACATTAAAAAGATCGATCTTTTTGAAAGAATATAATTTTAAACCTTCTTAATAAATAAAGCAATCAAATAAATATTTTAAAAAATTCTATAACGACTATTAAAGAAAAAGTGTATTTAACATTAAGTAAGTAATTAAAACAACTGTTTGAATACTAAATCTTTGAAAGGGTTTTTTCCCTTGTATAATTCTAAAGAAATCTGCCAGTCATAATTTTGAATAAATTGATATCACACCACGGGTTTAACCCTTCTTTGTTCACTTCGATAGATCAAGATATTTCAACCTCACTCATCCAACTTAACGATGATGAGCGTTCCTTTGACCGACTCATAAAAACTTTTCTAAATGTTAAGAAGGGATAAAAGCACCAAGTCATTTCGCACTCGTGGAAATAAATTACTAATCACCGTAATAAAATTGTCTGCACTTAATAGAGTTATGAGTGATTAAACTTTTTCCCTTGATATTCAAAGGTTCAAGGATATCGAGAACAAATTCAATTGGTGGCTTACCTCCTCCCAAATTAATTGCTTGCTTGTACCAGGTCTGAGATTCATTATTTTCAACTCAGCAGCTTTCAGAACTCCATCTTGTGTAAATTCAATGTTTGGTTTTCCTTGATCGCCCTCAACAGAAACATTTTTCAAGTACCTAAAAGATCACGTGAAAATTACTTTTTTCACAGTATGTAGAGGAAATAACTGTTATGAGAAAGTAAAAATATTTTACCTAAAAAATCTGTCTCCGGTATTCCATCGTGATTCCCCTAGGCCTTCACAACTCAGTGCGGAATTCAAACTAAGATTGACATTTTTCGGATCATTTACAAAATCTTCAACACCGTAGGCATAAACTTTAATAGCTGTTGCTATTTCATTCACTAAGCTTGGACTAGTTGTGTCGAAATGCACTCCTGAAACAAATGAAATTATTTAAATATATCAATTATTAATTACTTAATTTAAGATAAATTTTTTTTACTTGAAATATTATATTTTATTACAACTAAATTTATTTTATCAATAAATATTTTGCACTTGAATTGAAGCTGACTAGAGTACTGGTTTTATAGGAAACAGTAAAAGAAGATGAGACAAAACACATTTCAGTTCAATATGGATCGTAAAAATGTGATCGAAGAAGATGTGAGGAGTCGGTAAAATTGAAAATTCTAGATCTCTAAAACCATGACATTTTACACATAATCTCTATTAATATAATAACAATAAAAATATTTTATGTAGCTTGTAGCTTTTGAGAAAGAAAAATAAGTTGATATCAAACAGATATTTACTTGAAACTTTTATGCAGCAACTATCAAAAAATATATGTATTAAAAAAATTTATTAACTGTATTCTAAAGTTAGAACATAAATAGAACGCCCCTGAGAAACTACTTTCATTGCTTATGTATTTTTTAAATTACTTTTTTCAACAAATAGAATAATTTAATTGGTTGAAACATATTTTTTCAACAGCTGATTTTGAAAAATAACTTTTGATTTTTTTCTACAAAAAATTCAGCATTCCTGTCAACAGACTAATTACCTAAAATATTTAACTAAAGTTTTAAATAATGAAAAATATGCCTGAACAATTGTTGAGTATTACTACTGGAAATAATTTTTTGTTTACTACTTTAGAGATGAAAGTTTTACCATAAAATAGCGACACATAGTAACAATTTCTGATTTTATAGAATACTAAAAAACGTATGAAAATTCAACAATTGATGGTGTCATTGGAAAAAGAAATAATTTAATTCGTTTGAATTCTAAAAGCGGATCATTAATGGTCTTAATGGTCAGATTGTCAACAGAAAAGTAAAAATAAATATCAAACTACATTACTTACCCAACATCCCAACAGGAAATTGATTTGGTACCTGCAACATGGTCTCAATGACACTTTGAGTAACGACCCAAACGTAATTTTCTCCTGTAATCTTGAGTTCTCTAGCTGCACTTAATATATGAATAGCTTCTTCCCTTGTAGCATAAAGTAACATAACTCTTGATTCACTTTTTACAAGTTCCAACAAATCTGTAGGTTTTGTTACTAAAATGGTATTCAAAATAGTAAATTTAAATGTATCTTGCATATCCGATATCCGTTCTCTGACTGCTTGAATAAAGTCGTCATGACCAGCAATTTGAGAAGTCACTACGCTAAACTGGTGCCATTTATATCGTTCTAAAATACTCAACATAGCAGCAGTTTGGTGTTCCAGAGAAGGCGCCAGCTGCAATTGCAGACTACTCTGCGAAGCTCTCTGTAGTTTATATAAAAGTTTTGCGTTAATTATATAACTTGAAAAAGTCGTAATAAGAAAACTGATTTATGCAAGCAGACCACGATTTGCATTCAAATAATACGAGAAAAATTTACAAAAGAATACAAAGAAACAATCTTTCTTTTCGTTTAAATTATTAGAATTTCATTTAGATTTCAGTTGAATTCTATTTTTGTAGTTATAATTTTATGAAAAATATTTAAATGTTTGAAAAAAATATCATTTTCTTATCACAATTGGTTCTTATTTTTTTAATTATTTAAAATTTTTCCATATAAAAAAATAGCTTTTAACACTTTTATATGTATTTTATAAAAAGAGTGATACATACCCTTTCCAAACCAGAATTATCAGCATTCCAGGCGATCACAGGAATCCCCAAGTAGCCAGCAAGCTGTAAGAAATACTGAGCACTTGCTGTACTCCGCCCATATGTCTCATAATTCATGAGGTAAAGAATTGCCGAAACATTTCCCGTGAGAAATTCGTTACAAAGTGATTTGAGAATTGCTGTAAATAAAAAAAGCATTAACAACTATTAATATTTATACTCTACCGCTTTAGAACATACTTAAAAAATCATCTAAAGTACATTTTTCCAAATTATTACCAATTACTTTAACGTTTTTTTCCTACAGAAAAATTGACTCTGGAATGAAACATTTTTCTTTATAAAATGGAACTTTAATAAATAGTCAAATGCTAGAACTATAAAGTTCTAACTCTCAGACACTAGGGATTAAAGGAGTTCTATTAACTATGAAGCCCTAAAAATAGATAAGGATGAATAACAATGGACATGAAAATTCAGTGGATTATTTTAATTGAATTTCTCTATTTGAGGTTTGTATAAAATCATTTTAAATGGTCTTCATATAATCATCAGTGTATATTTGCACACAGAAAGGGTTTGAATTACAATGAATTAAAATAGATTTTGATATTCAATTTATCGAAATATGTTTTTATCAGCTCTCCTTGAAATTATTGTATTACCATTAATATGTGTTTGATAAATAATGCTAGGACAAATAAATAAATAAAATTGAATAAGACAAACTTATCAAATAAACAAATTTATTCTGATGCTAAAAGTGAAAGATTTAAATTTGTAAGCTGTTCTTAAGAAAATTAATCTCGCTGAAGAATTACTTTAATAAATCATCTAGAATGAGGAGCAATTTATTTCTATTTCATTATCAATTTAAATAAAATAAAAATTTCCATTCAAAATTCTTTTCTATTGTATTTGGCTTGACGTTGTAACACATAATGTCACCAGTCGATACTCAGAAAATAAATATAAGAATGAAATCGGGCCAATAGGTCATAGAATGAAAGTACTATTCATTTATTTTTATTTCGAAGTTGTCAATTAAAAGTATTCAATATTCAATAGTTGATAAAAGTAAAAGCGACTGAAGTCATCAATTGATCTTAATTAATTTTACTTTGACCTTAAGCTGACAATAGTAATGTTTTCGTTTTTATTTTTAAACTTTTAAAAAAATAATTTTTCGCTACATTCTGAGCAAAATAAATTTCATATAGCAAAATCTTGTTAGTAAGTTGATATCATATCTAGTAGGATAGCTGTAAAATGGTTTGAAGGATTTGACTTGAAGTCTAATCAGCTTCAGATCACTCAATATACGAGTGTTCAGTTCAAGTTTCCCATAAGACGTATTGAGAAAGGTTTTGAATCCAAATCTGTCTATCTGTTCTTAGAATATCATCTGCAGAAAATTTTCAGAGATACACACCTAGCAAAATTTTGACTGGTAATTCTCGAGAGTGATCAAATCTATCTCAGTTTTGAAGGGATTAGAAAATCTGTTTAGAAATGATATTAAACTAATATGATATATTCCATGAAATTAATTGACTGGAATAACTGATATTCCTAAATGATTTATTTTCAAGAGAATTATCTAATTTTATCAGCTACGAAGTTCAAAATTTAATTGTTCAAAAATCAAAAGATTTATTATTATTTCTTGCTTTACGTAATCATGTTTCTGAATATTATGTTATTCTATTTAAGACATTACTATCACTGCTTAATGCATATGCTTGAATAACTATAAATGATAAAGGTAAAGCTGCAGAGATACAACTGCTTCCTTTGATCATTATATACCACAAGTGTATATGGAAATAATCATGTGGAATATGTAACTCTATTTGTAGTAACGATACATCGTAAAGGTAAATATTCAATCGACTGTCTATTTTACACTTGAAATTGAAAAATAATCGCTTAAGCAATTAATCAACAAAGCAATAAATATGATAGCAATAAATCCAAAGTTTTTGAAGGTTTACGATTTTTACATCTCTATTTTTCTTTTGAATTGTGAATTTTTTATCCATGACGTTCATAAATAACAATTATTGTCTAGGGTATAGAAATTCAATACATGATGATGAATTCTAGAATAGATTTTTCCAAATAAAACATTCTTTATTTATAACAAATGATATAATGAAAGTAGAAATTTCGTTAATGAAGAAAATTTTAATATTCATTCCATTAATTACATATTCGACAAAATCACAACAAGTTTTATTAATGAATAAATGGATATGCATGGAAACGTTATTACAACCACAATGTTAAGCCTAAAGAGATAATACATTTACTGATCTCGAATGGAATCACAATGGAGTGTATATAGATAATCCTTTGACATAATTAATAACATATCAGCAAACACTGGTGCGAAACCAATGAACTTGAGAGTAACATAATTATCTACATAAATCGAATATACCTAAAGATGAGTATTTTAAAGTAAATTAATTATTTTCATTAATAAATATTCTTCAGAAAGTTTGTTTATAATTTTATTAATAAAACATAAATTATTAAGTTGCATTGCTGACTGTTGCAGACAATTTAGGCTGAAGCTACTGACACATTGAACTTGGAATTAGAGCGAGGATATTTCACTTCTCTCGTCGTAAAATGTTTATATCTCGTAGTGCATAAGACAGGTACACAGAAAAAATTTTACTACGAAATTTACTGTTGAACTATAACATTACGAATTATGTAAGGGTTGCATATATAAGATTGGAGATGACTTTATGATGACAATTCTGGAATTTAATTTCAAATGTTTTAGAACAGATAATACGCTTGAGTGAAATTTAATTAAATTTTTTCTTTTGTTAGGATCATAATTTCACTTCTTATGGAATAATGATTATTGATTATTTTCCGATAGTGATTTATTTAATTAATTTAAATAATATATCAGTACTCTATTAACTCATTGTTCCTTTACAAAGCTAATAATGTACTAATTAAATTTCGCACGGAGTTATATTATTGAAAAATCAAATATAGATTAAGAGCGACTGTTTTGACTATGCATTAATGGATGCAGCCACCAGACCATGGAAGATATTAATAGCTGACTACTTTTATCAAAAAAATAACATTATAGTGATAAATTATAGCAAAAAACATCTCATTATGTTTGTGAAAGAAAATTTAGAAGGAGAAAAAAAACTGAATTAACACGTTAAGGTTGATAAACATAAATCATCTTTCTTAAATGATCTCAGTTAAAGAGAAATTGAAATAAAAACTCAACTATTAATTAATAGACTTGAGGTTTGTAGAACCCAATATTGATTTATCTTCATTCAATTGTTTTTTTTACTGTTAAATGTTTTTATTCACTTTCAATAAAATTACAAAGAGAATGTATTAATAAACTATTTTTATGACCATCAAAAGATGAACCAATACATTAAATTAGTTTCAAAAATATCTTCAAGCAAAATTTGTTGAAAATATAAGGAAATTCAGCGAGATAATATCTGGAAAATGATGTGACCGATTTTAGATGTTACAGAGAGACGATCGATGCATCTTGAGGTCAGTAAGTGTTGACAAAATTTTCAGCATACTTCGTTTAATATTTTCTTAAATTATTGCAAAAATTTAAATGATATTAAAAACCGAAAGTTTGAATCTCATTTTGTAACAATAGATATCAATCTAGAATTAATTTAATTTCACTTATTAATTAGCGAAATTAATTTTTATAATAAAAAATAACAAAACATTCTAGAGTCAAATAGATGTTTCTAGCTGAATGAAATCAATAATTAAAATAATTAATTTGGATACAAAACAGGATTGCAAATGTCATTGAATAAAATAATTATTTAGTGATATAATGACGGTTTTATTCCGTTCTGTTGGCGTTAATAAAACGATTAAAATGTATTACGTAAATATAAAGTACATAGAATCGAACATCAATTCACATCATAATATGATCAACAAAGATTACCTGTTGGACTTGGTGTGAGTTCCATCATCACATTCTTGACACCTTGAAGAGTAAAATCATAGTGGTCTAAAAATCTATATTTGCGTACTCCCCTACTTGTTTTATGTAAATTCCCTACAGCTTGATTTATTGCTCTTGTGTAGTCACGAGCCCCAAAATTTGTATGAGGAACGATAAGCCCGATACTCAATTTTGGTAGTGATCCATTTTTGGACGTAAGTGAAACGTCATGTTTCGAAATCCCATAGAAATTCCATTCTTTCATCGTTCTAGCCATTACGAGAGATGTAAAGACCGGAAATAAAGACAATGGAATCCACATTTTTTGTGAACCTTTGTTTTTTTCCGACGTTTCAATGTTCTAAAAAGCATCAAACAACCTTATAAAAGCCTTCAGCATCGAATAGAGCTCGATAATGATAATTATCACGTTCGGAATGACATCCTTCGGCACATCCACTTGATCTCTTTCCACTTCCCGCCCACTATCGTTGCAACTTTCATATCAGCGCTTTACATATCACTAGTCTTTTAATGCTCTTTCTTACATTCACTTGATCGCCGATTTTTTACCTCTTAGATGCACGGTGGTTTAAAAGTTTCTTATCGAAATTCTTCATCTATATAAAGTAACCATTATAAAAAAAAAGAATTATTTTTTTAAGAAAAATAATTATCTTGGAAGATTTTAATGAACATCTTTCCATAGAACATTTTTTTTGCTGCTCAGATATTTTTTTCTTTCGTAAAAAATGTCGAAGTCAGCAAAAGCATCGCAGTAATAATTATATGAAATTTGTAGAAAAAATAATTTCAAATATTAATTATAAAGTAATAAATTAAGAGAAAACGTTTGATGAACTCAGACTTGTAAACTTATTTAAGTCATGAAATTCATTTATTTTTCGTTCAAATCCAATTTTACGAGCTTACAGATATTTTATCTAAAAATATATAACATAATAACTCCAACTATAAATGAGAAGTTTATTTGTCCTGAATTTCTTTGAAATTGTAGGGAAAAATACTAGAAATGCTCGTTACTTTCTACATCAGCAACCCTCATCGCACATCAGGGAAGTACTGGTTTACGAGTAGCCTTAGAATAGTTATGAAAGCATTTGGACTGGTAGTTAATTACATATTTCCATTAATGGAAATATTTAGAGAAACATTTTCTTACATAGATGTTAACTTCAA